CAAGACAAAGAACATGTAACCGTTACTGTCTATAAATAATGATGGTTTCTTTTGTTTCTTGATTGGCGATTATGGTTTTGTTGTAGGGTGGCTATCATTATGCTTCGAGCCGGATTTTCTAACGTGGTTTTAGCGTGAAAAAAATCTATTCAGCCCATCGTTGTCAGTTTTTAATATAATTACTTAAGCAATCTACTCCAGCTTTTTATCCATTTATATTCTTAATATTGTCTTATAAACGTTCGTTCGTTGTAGAACCACCTCAACTAAAATAATTTTTGCATTCCATTATCAATAAAAATATATATGAGTAACGCGGAGGATACAATTATCCCCATTCTAGCTAAAAATAACACAGCATCACGCTTCTTCTACTGGTTTTCCCCTGAGAGGAAGATAATGATTGTATATATGATGTACTTTAAATGTAATAAGTATAAATAAAAGTCGATAGCATAATCTCGGCTAACAGCATATAATGATGATAATGTTGATACACTTTATTGTAAGACACAAACTTGTCCGTGTAGATTAATAATGTCATTATAATATTAAGACTATTTTATGAAAGTAACAAGGAATAAATTTAAAAATATAAAGTATCTGCTGAATTAAAAAAAAAAAGAGGAGATTTGTAATATGACTAGCGATAAGTATCACTTAGTAATAGAAACTGCATGTACAGGTATGGATTTAGAAAGCAAATTAATAAACTAAAGTTTCTTGTAGGAGATAGAAAAAATAAAATAAAATAAACGCCGGCAGGAAATGGATTAAAGAAAGAAAAGAAGTCTTTATGGAGAAGTGAAAAATAAGTAAAAAACGAATGATATTTGCGCGGTCCATCGCAAAAAAAAAATGAAGAAAAATAGTTAGTGTCGATTAGGTTGAGGAACATGATTATATTTTCCCATTTTTTGGGGGGATGAAGCTTCATCCCGAAAGTCCCCTCTCCTTTCCCCACCCCCACTAGTAGGGCTTATGCCAGTAGTAGCCATACTGTCCTCGTACTGTTTTTGATTTTGCTTCGTGATATCACGTGACACGGAGAGAGGCGATCTGTGCCGGAAGTTACCGAAAACATTGTCGCTGGTACGTCTCGTAGTGTACGAAATCTTTAATGATGTATACAAATAGAAATGGATACAAATAGAAAGGTTTACTATTTAATGATAAGAAGACAAAAATTAAATTAAAATAAATAATCTATGCGGCAATTATAAATAAAATAATCCCCCATATGATGGTATGTTTCCAAAAAACAATAAAATAACATTAACTGGCCTATGTTGGCCACAACAATAACCATCAATGTTTAAACAGATGTATCCCTAAAAAGAAATTAGAGACCTGGGATCCCCTCAGATCAGCTTTCTATCAAGTGGAATATTATTGGTTTTTTTTTATTCTGAAACAGGTCTAGAAACTTGACTCAAACTGAAAATAAGAAAAAAATGACTGGCTGTTATTGGAGAATGGATAAATGAAGGTATATTATCGCAATCGATTCTAAACTTTTTATTGAATTTATCAATTGAAACACCCCATGCCTAATAATTCAGTGGGCAAATTATACATTTTAGCCTGGCCATTATACAGAGAATCGTCCATTGCTGATGAAGTAATGAGATGCTGAGGAGTGTGATGACGGTGGTTTCGATGAGTACAAGATTATACTTTCGCTATGCTGTCTGTCTTTCAACTTTTTTTTTTTACTGTTACGGATCTTTACCCTAGTTCCCTCTTATCTCCTTGGAAAAATCAAATCGTGAAGTTTGAATGTTATATTTTTGTCATGGTGTTATTTCAATAAAAGTACATGTTACATTACAAGTTTGTTTTATATTTTAAGAGGTAATATAACATCTATAAAAAAATAAATGTTAGCAATGATTAATATTTTTTAATAACAGTATATTTTTAATTAATTTATTGCAGATCAATGGGTAAAAAAGAAATTGAAGCTTTGTATTGTAATTGTTTTTGCTGAAAACACTTGGATGATTGGATGTCAAACATAATTTTTTTACTCAAATAGAAGTGACTCTCAACCTATTCGGAAACAAACCTTAACGTAATATGGATTTTAAACTTATTACACACGAAGTCTTTCTGGAAGTGGGTAATCTGCACCTCGATTGCAAGGATATGGAAAAAAAAATTGACGAATAAGCCATGCATGATTTTTTGAAAAAAAGAACTTAAGGTAGTTTAAGCTCTAGAAACTCTCTTTAAATGTCTTCCAAGAGATTTAAGACTCTTCTTGCATTTGAAGGGATTTTTGTGCAGTTTAATGAGAAGCAATTGTTAATTATATAAATGAAACATTCTTTTAATTATTGATTCTTCTACAACAAAGAACGTGACTTACTTAAACAAAATCAAAACTTATAGTCCGTGGTACAGACCCCTTTTTATCGAATTATTAACATCCACCTGAAACGTCGTAAATAGTTTCATCTCATCGTAACCAACAACTGAAAGGGGGTAAACTTTGTCTATTTAATTAGGTACTAAAACCTCGTAAATACCCATTTGCTTGTCACTTGGACCGTAAGATAATTTGAGTATAAAATCGAGGTAAAAGGTAGCCTTCAAAAATATTGAGCCGTCTGTCCTGTATAACCTCGTTATTTTGAAATTTTGGAGGTGTAGGTCACGCCAAAAGGCTCAATATTTTTGAAGGCGATCTTTTTTCTCGATTTTGTGATCAAATTTTCTTACGGTTCAAGTAAAAATCAATTATGTATTTACGAGTTTTTAGTACCTAGTTAAATAGACAAAGATTGTTCTCCTCCAAATTGAAAACGCCCCAATTCCAAGAGTTTTCGTAAATAAAATAGTTGTAGGTTATGATGAGATGAAACTATTTATGAAGTTTCAGGCGGATGTTAATAATTCGATAAAAACAGGTCTGTACCACGGACTATTAAATTTACTGTTTTTATACGAAAATCGAACCATTGTTTATATAAACTTTTTTGTAGCCCTTGAAGTCTTCTATCGCCTCTTTAAAAATTTCCGTTTACTTTTTGCGAATAATTTATATGTTTACAGACAGGAGCGGATGGTTTGATCCAAATAGACCTGTTGGACTACATATTTTCAAGTTATCCCAAGTTTTTTTTTTATTTCGAGCTTAAAATATTTTTATCAGTGCATAAAAGTTTGTTATACACCAAGTATTGGCATAACATTCAAATTGAACTTGATATTTTTGAAATACAAATAAATAATCAACCTCGTTATATTCTATTCTTGGAGGCTACGTCGTGAGGTGCATATGAGCAAGGATGGAAGGTTTAAACCGACTTATAGTGAGTCAGTTTCAATTGGTGATTCAGCTAGACCTTGCTGTCCAAAGGGACGTTTAAATATAACTTCAATTAGTTCATTAACGCCTCACTCTCTCGGAATAGTAAAATTAAATAATCGATTCATCGGCCCATTGTCTGTGACGCCCTTCGAGTCATAGGTTAGCTCAAGGCCATGGTGGAGGCAGGATAGCTTTGCTTGTTTATTTAATTCATTTAATTCATATTAATGATAATTAAAGTGAGGGGAGAATTAATATTATGAATATTTCAAATTAAAATTTAAAAAAAAAATACAGTACAATATTTCAAGGAAGGTTTTGTAAGCTTGCAGATTAGATCTTTTGCTTATGATAAACGAACTTGATTTCTAAAGTACATTTTTTTTATTAGTCACTAATGTATACTATTCTTTTGTGTCTCAATTATGTAAATAGAAACTGAAATTTACAATATTCGTCCAGTTGCCAAGTATTGAGTACTGGTATGAATTTTCAATTTTTATTTGTCCAAAGAGATCAGGTAATAAAAAGAAGAAAATCTGTACTTTTCATGAGGCATATTAGCAAAGATAAGTTGCGTTAAAGAAAAGTGTAGGAGGGGGCGGGAGGCAGGATTGTTCAGTTCAAAATTGTGATGCCATTGCACAGTTCAGAATGAAAACCGGACATGACTGTCTCCAAAGCCATCTTCTAAACAGTATTGGAGTTGTCGATTCAGCAATATGTCTAATGCGTCGACAAGGATTCATGACTGCTCTGCATCTACTGACTTGTTCCGGACTTGAAGACATTAGAAACAAAGCCAGGACAGAAGGTGAAATTTACTGGGCTGATAGAGCTTACATGGCTGAGAGAGCTCAAGAGGATTAAGGCATAAGATAAATAAATAATACAAAAAACTTGAATTAAAATTGATTTCAGTACTGTGGGACTGTGCTAGCAGGAGAGCTCTTTAGATTTGGCGATGAATGTGTTTAAGTTTACAAGAATCGCTTACCGCCGTTTTTCTTCTGATTCTTCCCCAGGACATCCAACTGAATAACAATGCAGTTTATATCGGGAGTGTCGCGAAGTTACGTTCCTGATCTAATACCTATAACTCGATCATCGAACACTACTGGAATTCGAATTCAGTTTCAAATGGATTTTTATTTCAATGCTGACAATTTATATTACATATTTTTTTATATTAAATAATCGTAATGAGCAAATTCAAATTTAAAGCAAACTTCAAAAAATGTCCTGTCATTTCCAATGATTTAAAAGAACTGTCTTTAATTTTTCATGTAAATTTCAAATATGAAAAGTTTGTGCAGATTTGTAATGCTCAATCGTACGCAGTCGTTATCGAGTTTTAAATTTTTTTTTTATAAACCCTACTTCATTATTAATATTCAATGCTTACATATACGTTCCTAAAGAATCGACATCTTATTTGAGTTATAATGTTACGCCTAGAATGCTCTAAAAGTGTCAAATATATATATATATATATATTATATGAAATACAACATGCGACGAATGTTAATTAAATAATTTTTGATGCTGAATCTTGCGGCGGTATTAATGTTTCATGTTATGGAAAATAAAAACAAGCAGTTCAAATTTAAATAGAAGCTGTTAAAAATTGACGTTTTTTTTTCATTCAAATTTTGCATACGGTACTCTGAGCGACCAATCGGGTTTAGCCGCCGCGGAGCGTGTGATGGATGATAATTTCCGTGAAGAGGGGTATAATGAACCGTAGCATAGGCGATGGGACCGATGGGCACCTCGGCCCATTGTGCCAGTTAATATCAGCTAGCCTATGCCTTGGCCGATTAGTGCATACCTCCAGGTGTGCTCCAAGGGCGGCTGCCTCTCCTAATGTTATCTGCACTTTCTTCAACGGCCTCTGCATGCGTAACTGCCTGCCCTTGATGGTTATACCGCTCTCTGAGTAAATATAAACCATTTTAGAGGATTATTTAATATTGTATTCTGGTAGCAATCAATTTTACAGACGGACGTCCTCCTAATTGACTGCGAAGGTTGTATAAATGAGTTATTTATCTCTTGGTAAAATAAGAAACTATAGACCAAAATTCAAATATTTTTGGCATAAATAATATCTGTGCCCAGAGATAAAGGACACCGTGTACATTTTTTAATTAAATGATTTAGTAACAAAAAAGCAAATTTTAATTGCTGAAAGTTATGCAAAATTGGCTCTTCGGAACAAATAAAAAAATGTTAACCTCCGCAGTACAGATTTATCAAGCAAGGAACAACTTTTAATAGCTCAAATTTATGGAACATTGTCTTCCCTCAACAAATCCAAAATGGACATGGTTTTCTTTACCTCCTGGGTAAAGATATGTACATCACCTATATATCATCTAACAGTACATAAGTCTCTTTTACTTCTACTTTGCTTCCTAGTTTACCTGATTCTTCTTGACCTCCTCGCTTAACTTGAGCTTGGCGTCGTCAACGGAATACGTAAAAAATCTGTGACTTTTTGTGACGACAACCCTCGTGATTTACTTCCAATTTCGTGAGACAGGTTTAATATCCATTCTAGACGGCCCAGTCCTTATTAAAAGCATAAACACTCTTGTCGTAATAAAAAAATAATTAAAGTATACTCTATTTTGAGCTCCTTTTAGGTGGACCTGCTCAAGTTCATTATAACATGTACAGAACCTACATTTTTTGTCTTGCGGTCTTTAAAAAAAAAAAATAAAATTGGATGCAACCAGCCTTGTCTTATTTTAAGCAATATTTTGTATTTTTTTTACCTTTGAATTAACGACAGCGGACAAACGAGATTTAACCTTAAAATAGTAATTACGAATAGTAGGAATCTACTATTCTTTTTTTCCACTACAGTCTTGTTTTTTTACTTTATTCTATATATGTTCTATCGTTTTTCCTAGAGGCGTGATGATTTTTAATTTATGTTTGAATAACATTAAATATTTAATTTTAAAAAACAACAGGAAATTTTATATATATATATATATATATATATATATATATATATATATATATATATATAATAAAAAGGTGTTTTTATTGTTAAATTTTATTTATTTTTAACTTATTTGATGTACTAATATATTTTTAATATTTCAGGTGAGTTCATCTGGGTGCTTTCACTTATATTTTGACTCTATTTACTGAGGACATAAATAATGTAAGTATTTGAAATTGCGATAAGTGTTCTTGAATATCAATCTATGAGTAGGTAGAATTTATTTTTATGATATGTAGTATTAGAAATTTTATATAAAGAAATCGTATTCACTTTATTTCAATTTTTAGACGATGTTCCACTTTGTGAAATTTTTTTTACATTTTACAAAATAGATAGCTTTCAGTAAAAGTTAGAAGATAATTTTACACAAAACATCCTAATACTTACTAATTCAATTTAAAATAACGACGTAGAAATAACAGCTTTTCCGAATCTTTTGAGCTCCTGATTAATCGCTTACTGAGGCGGGGCATTTTCGGTATTTGTAGGGTTGACGTAAGAGAGAGTGAATATTGCCCAACAAAAAGGTGAAACGAATCCTGACCAATATCAGATAAGAGGCTTATTGGCCGATTACAAACGTTCAAATAAATATTGTCAAAATTATAACCGTTTTATGATCTCAGAATCAATTCACAAATCCAACCGAATTTTATTTGAATATATATGTATATTATTTTTATTGTTGGTTTTGAATATACTTTTTATGTATTTCAAAAATATTCTTTTTATAAAATTATATCATGGCTCAATCATGTATTGAGATCATCATTAGTTAATTGTTTAAATAAGTATTTAAGTTATTTAAAGTTTGAATGAATGTAAGAGTTCTAATTTTTAAAATTAATAACTATCTATTAAATGTTATTAATTATTATTACTTCAAATTATATATATATTTTTTTCTAACTTCATTTTTTCACCCACACCATAAGCAATGTCAATTAGCTGGTCTGCAATTAAATTTAAAACATATGATATTTATAACTTTCAATTAAATTAATCAGCTTGTACTGGCTAGAAATATAGATGTAATAAATCAAAATAAAAAAAAAAAATAAAAATATGATGTGTGCTTAAGACCATACGATAAAAGTGAAAACATTAACGAGGCAGGATTAATAATACGAAATATTTTTTTTTTTTTTTTGTTTTGTTCTCTCATATAGTAACAATATGTAAAATATACTCAATTATAGTTGTGAATAATAATGTATATGTTTTCATTCGATATAGTATAATGAAATTTTACTATATGTCTTTTTATTTCAACTGTCAAAACTTAATATATATATATATATATATATATATATATATATATATATATATATATATATATATATATATATATATATATATATATATCAGTCATACATTAAGATATCAGGAAGAGCCAGGAGTGAAAATATAAATAGTAAAAATTTTAATTGTAATTACTTTTGAGCATAGTTTACTTTACAGGAACAGAATATGCTTAATATTTGCGAATATTTTTATATTTTATTTTATGTCCTCAACTTAATTTAAAGGCGTAGTTATGCCTACTGCTATTATTCAGCAACAAAACATCAACAGTCAACGTCGTGAATGATAACCATGTCCTCAAACACTCTTGCCAACTCACCACATCAACATGTACCTTGTATGAATGACTCATTCGTTTACATATAGTAGAGAATATAAAAAAAAAATTATATTATGACTTCCAAACTGTCTAAAGCATTATTAAACCCCTAGTGTATTAATTCAAAATAAATTTTTTTAAATGTCTGTTGAAGAACTCGTGAGTCCACAAAAGAATGTAACATCAGGTGCGCCACAAGTAGCTATTTTAAGCCCTTAGATATTTAACTTATCTCGCCACCAGGACATTCCTACCCACTAAGAAAACCTCATTGCGTTAAATGGAGGTAGGTGAGAGGGTTTTAGGAAGCAATTTCAATAATATAATCATAGGTTTGTATACTTCAATAGAGCAGTGTTTATATATTTCCAAATTACTACTAAATACAAATTTAAAAGCAATATAAATATATTTATTACGATGACCTTATTTATTAGGAGGACGGAATTTCACAGATGGGAACCAAGAATGTTCTTATTTTCTATTTAAATTTATTATTAGCACTAATTGCATAAAAAACCATTTCTAAATCACTTTACATAATTTGTAAATTGGTTTTGTTTTGCTAAATGCCGTTTTGTTTAAATGCTAATTTTACCCCAATATGATATCTTTTAGCTACCCAAATATTTCTAAGACACTATTTAGTATGATTTGTTGAGTTCTCGGAATTTTATCTTTCATTGATTATCTACATTCCATTTTTTTATTTCATGTCTCCCACATTTGTTTGCTGTAAAGTTTGAATCACTCAATGAATCATTTGTGATTACTTTACGCAAATATTTGATTTACCAAGGACATCGAATTTATTTTTTCTTGATAAAGACCACAAAACAATATCTGTATTTAGTTCAATTTCTCAATTCGTCTATAGCAGAAGTCTCCGAACTTTTGCTCACGGACCGGATGATATCCTTTAAGTCCCGCGAAATTTGTGATGAAAAAACAAATATTGTTCTATAAATAAACTTAATTTGTAAAATAAGCTTTCTAAGAGTTCTACGACTCATGGAGTAAAGGTTGTAGTAACCTCGTGTTTGATTGATTTACTAAATTTTATATTGTTAAGTTTTTATATTTCTAAAATTTTACTATTTATTAATCAAAGAAACTTGTGGGCCGGATTGGAGGTGCTTGCCTTTATTTAGTTTATTACTCTAGAAAAACATAAAGAAATCACCTGTATGAAATAATGTTTATGCACTCCTTAAAGTCTCGTTAGAAAAAAAAAACGCTGCAAATTATTCCACAATAGTTTATTATTTCCAAACAATTATGCATCTAAAGTAACATTACCTTCCAGCCACAAAGAAAAATAAATAAAAAGTGATTCCAATTATTGGACTAAACTTTTTTTTTAATCATTAGTAATATGCTAAAAAAAAAAATAGTATTACTTCAGTAACACATTCAAAATTTAAAAATCAAACAAAGGATATAACATTTGGAGTAGAACATATAAAAAAAAAAAAAAAACCCGGAGACCATATCTTTGCTCCTAATTGTTCGATTTTAACGATTTTTTTTTTGATTTTTAGGAAATTTCGTAAACTTTTAGAAAACATCTTATCACAACATCTCCGAGTTATTCGGAATTAAATTTTATCATCCCTCGTAACTTTTTTTCCAGCTTCTTTTCGTTGAAGTATAATATATATAGATAAATTTAAAGGGCGTAGAGAAAATGTCTTTAGCGAAGTTTCATTGAAATCGCTACATTCGTTTAGGCGCTACAGTCTATAGCAACGCAGGTTTTTTGGCCGCCATTTTGAAAGTAAAAGGCGAATAATAATGTCGATGAATGAGGATCATCCTCGGATGACCTCTGATTTTATACCCAAATTAGAAAAAAATAGGTCGAGTAGTTTCGGAGAAAATGCGTGGACGGCGGACGGCGGACGGACAAAAAAATGTTTATTCGTTTTTCGAATTCTACGCTTCCGGAAACGTGAAACCTCAAATTTTGAGAGGAGCTTAAGTTTTAGAATTTTTTGGTCGATCACAATGGTTGATTATTGAAAATAATAAAACACAAGACGGTAATTACTGGAATAATAATGCTTTCAATGATTATTTTTTTCTTGGCAGGTGCTTAAATTTAGCAGCTGCATTTACATTATAATTTAAAAAGACAAACATAGTATGATTGTTTTAGTTTGGATCCCTCACATTAACCAATAAGGACTAATGAAGAAAAAAATTCTATTTTGGGGGGCTTCAACCCGAAAGCCCCTCCCCCGTTGTTCCGGTTAGAGGATATTACTTTATGGATTATTGGAAATGACTAGTTTCAGATTTGAAAATCCTAACACTTACTTGTCAAGTGCGTATCCGATCACTGGTCGCGATACAAACTGTTTTTTTAAATGTAAATTTGGTATATAGTATAGGTTCTCTGTGCATAGAAAAAAGAAGACAAGACTGAAATATATAGCTGGTTCTGACCCGAAGAGAACCTATTTACATTGACCCAACAAAGTGTGTTATCAACTATGTCTCAGAAAACTTGGAGAACGAAGCTAGAAAATCAGACCTTGTTGCTATTTATCCTTGTATTTTTTCCTATTTATCCAGCGTTTCCTTGTGAAAGGCAAAAAGACCAGTTTCTCATTTTATTTCTGTTAATTACATTTAATAGAATTGCGTTTGAAATAAAAAAATAAATAGCTTTGTGAGAAAAGGGACATAAAATTAAAACGTTGCCCTGGGAACGTGGCTTATTTGATCCTAAGATAATTTTCCTTTAATTATTGCAATTTAATACATTAGCTAACTACTTTAATACATTTAAGTAGCAAAAATAAAATCGAAAAGTATATATATATATATATATATATATATATATATATATATATATATATATATATATATATATATATACATATTTTAATCTATACCTGTTTAAAGGTGTACTCTATGTTTTGTCTCTTGATATGTATATAAAATGTTTTTATTGTTAATAGAAAACAATTTTCTTCAAAAAATATTCTTAGGATGTCAACTTTTATGTTTCCTGAAAAATTTCATTTTATCATTTGGAAGGGTTTTGGAAATGAATGATTCATTTATTCGTGATTCGTAGCTGTCTCTAAATATTGGTTAGTCATTTTATAAATGACTGATGTTTGATATTTTTTGCTCTCCAAAACCATAGAAAGGACAGAAGCATCATTTTATGCTGCAACAAAAGCAAAGTTAAAAGGCGTCATTATGGCATCCTCGATTCTATATTATCCGTGCCTAGGATGCTTTCTCTATGACTGGCTCTGCGATTGTTTCAAGCACAAAAGAATGATTCAGAATCACAGTCCATCCAATCGGGTTCTTCTGTAACTAGCAACCATTAACTTTAAAAGTAAAAAAAAATAATAATAATTACAGGCGACCAGGTTTGAATCGGCACACGACATTCTCTCGGGTATTGTGAGTTCAAAAGAGGAAGATAATTCGTAGGATTATACTAAGCCCAACAGAAATGTGGGAATGCTCTTTTTTTAGAATGATACGCAGGTTCTCAAGTGTGGTCTAGATCCTGTCCAAAGAACAATGGAAGAAAGTGATCCGGAAATCTTCATTAAGAGTCTCGGATCCAGGCTTTTCTGGAGGAAAATCCTTTTGTCGATTGTGCCTGGGAATAATAGAAACTTTTTTTTCCTTTAGTCTTGGATCAATTTAAGAACCAACAGACTAATGTTATTCAATCCTTTAAGATGTTAATTTAAAGGTCTACATTCACATTGTTAGACATTCTCAATTCTTGATATCTCGAATTCGATATTTCGCTCTTCGACTCATAACAATAAAATTATCTTCAATATTATTATTATGATGATGTTCGTAACATATAATTGTGATACATTATTATTTCTTCGATCATGTACATTACGACTTTATATCTTAATATTAATAATAGTAATATCTTAAGTGTCTCTTGCAGGGTGAAAATTATTGAATCTATTACGAATTTCGTATTGACCGTGTGCCTTTTTTATAACAGTGTTAGCCGTATGAGATGGGAGTTATTACAATTCTAAGTAGTCCCCTTGTTTTTCGTAAGTAATATCAATTGGTGTTAGAAGTTTTCTTTTTCTTTTCTTGGATGGAATGTGACTAAAAGGCGTAATCTATATTTTCTATCTCGGTGGCCCCCATTTGAATATCACAAAAACTGCTATATTTTCGCACTTTTTTCGGTTTTCCCCATTTTAATCATGAAGGAGCACATTATCGGCAACAGACAATATACTTTTTAAATTATATTACATTTACTACAATTTGAGACCACAATAGACTCGTAAACCTGATAGGTTTCGAACTACTAAATTTGGCAAATTTTCCAAACTAGATAATTTTAAACTATAATTATTTTATTGTTATTAAGCTATGTTTTATTTTGTTTTGAAGATGGTGGATTGGCGAATTTGCTTAGACCTTCCAATCGGAGGAGCACTTTTAATTCACATTTCGGTTACACTCTCATTTAAACGTTATGTGTAAATTCCAATTTTGATTATATTTGGTGATAGGGCTTTTTATTTATAGGTCATATAATATAAACTTTTAATCATAGAGCCTATGATTAATATAGCCATGATGATAATGATAGCCAACACTAAACTGGTGTTGATTTGAATAGGACAAGAATAATAATATTAAGATAGCTTAGCTTTATTTCTAATAATTTTACATATATCCAGTGGATAGCAACTAACAGCTAAAGAGATACCTCGTGACGGTTATAACCCTTTGAGGAGTTTACATAAGCACAAATTATAGGAAAAATAAATAAAGGACATCTCATAAATAATAAATATTAATATTTGAAAAAATCGTTCTAACGCGATATAAAACAAATTTAAATAATTATTAATTATTCTATAAATAATTATACAATTATACATTTAACATGTTTGTAAATGATTATTTGTTTATCAATTTATACCTGTAATAACAGGTTAGCCAACCATAACC